GAGGTGGGTAGTGGAGCATGTGTCTGGCTAGGGGCAGGATGGAGGTGGAAATGGGTAAGGACAGAGCTCCGTGCTCCCCTTTCAACTATTATGTTTGCATTCGCAAGAAACTTTCTTCCTCCACAACTGAAGTGCCATGGCAGGTTTGTTTTCCTCCAAATATCAGAGGAGTGTAAAAGCTATGGTGTCTGGGTTTGGGGTTCAGTTTCCTTCACCCCTTTAGGACTTTCTCCCTTTTCTAGAACCAGTGGGAATTAACAGGGCTAAGAGAAGTTGTTTTCCTCTTCAGAACAGATGTTATTTTATTTGAAAGGATGGATTATCATTGTGTGATTTGGATCCAATATTTTAACTTAATGATATTTATCCAAGATGTCATGTCATATTCTACTCCTGTGTGTCAAAACCTGTCACCAAATGAAGATAAAGCTATGATGAATCTCACAGTTCTTATCTTTACATCCTTTTACTCTAAACAAATTCTGGTTCCTTGCTTACATGTCTGTATATGAGGGTTTTGACTTATTGGAATGATCTCAGAGACAGTGGAGAGCATTTTGTTGATGTATTTAAAGGCATACCACATGGAACAAGACAGTGCTCAATGTAAAAAAAAAAATGGTTTTATAATGGCTGCATCTATTCATCTCTGATTCTATTAAGGAGTTAAGATTCAGGAAAGTGGCAAAGTCAAATACATGTGATAGTTTTCATAGTCGGACTGGAATTAATTTCAGTGCATTTAAGCAACTACATCTGCTTCTTAACCAGGTAGTGCTCAGGATGTTGAAATTTGGCTTCATAATTATGTATATATGCACACATAATTATATGAATACATACAACACATATATTTTTGTACTAGTTTATTCTTGCAGTATTCCCCAACCACATTCAAATTCAACAATCAGATTATGATTGATTGTACTTTACCTAAGTGAGAAGAAATATCCCCTTCTTTTCATGCAAAGCAAACCACTGAAGCTTCCATCTGTTTGAAATGAAGCATTTTCTAGCAGCAACCTGGAAGAAATTACAGAATGCATACAAGATATGTGTGGGCATGTTTGTGTGCATTGGTGTGTGTGTGTGTGTGTGTGTGTGTGTGTGTGTGTGTGTGTGTACACATGAAGGCCACAGCATATGGCCTGACTATAAAGTGTATCCTTTAGCTTCACAGAAACATTAGTGAGCATATTTAACAACCACAGAGGAGAAGCACGACTTTGGCATTCAACAGTGTGTTTCCAATGGTTTTTATAAAGAGATAAATACACTTACTTCTGAAATCAAGGTACATCCAGAATTCAGAGATGCATTCAGTCAACAGGAGGTGTTAGCCTAGGCATCCCACCTACCTACATGCTTTCCTGATACAGATACCAAGCTTACATCTTTCCATACAGATCCTGCCACAGGGACCCAAGTCACAAAGGTTAAAGTTTTCAGATGATAAACAACAATAGAAAAGAATAAGTCAGCAAGTCATGAAAATTTACAGGCTATTTTAGAAAACTCATAGCTTTTGTGTTGAGCAATAGTGTCACCTGAAAGCATTGTCACCTTGTATTCTTTTTCAGGATAAACTCAAACGCTGGTATATTTCTGAATGACGAGATGGTAAGGAAGGTGGAGTGTGGATGGTCCAGGTTTCCATTGCTTCCAATGAGGTGTCATATTCCAGTGAGGTCATTTCCTGACTTCAAAGCATTCATCTGAACTGCCTCAGTCAGCCCTAGTGGTTAGAACCTGATGTTTCTTGCAAGACACATTGATCTCTACTTATTCCACTTTTCAGTTGCACAAGCCCGTGATGAAGAAAAGTCCCGGTCTCTCTGACTATCTTTGGGCCTGGACCCTCCTTCTCAGCACTCTGTCAGTAAGAAGGTGGGGCACTTTATTTTAAATCTGCATGACAATTTCTGTAATTTTTCATTTATTCCATCAGGGGGAAGAAAATTGTCCATGGATGAATTCATGACTAAGGGAATTCGGAAAACTTTACTGCAATAAAATTTCAGCTAAGACTAAAGAAGAATAGAACATGAAAATAACTTTCTTATTGGGATGTCTGCTAGAATACACTTAACAAGCTTTTTTTGTTTTTTGTTTGTTTGTTTTTTTGCTAGGAAATATATGAGTTCAAGTTTTAAGCCTAAAATTGAACTTTGCAGTTTTCATTTGTATCTGAACAAAGCTTATAGTTTCCTAATTTACAGAAAAAGTTACCCGATTAATTTCTGCATGCCCTATAAGTTGTAAATTAATTTTCCAACAAGAAAATTTCTAACAATTTGCAAAACCATACAGTAACTTGTAAAAGCACGGGAGTAGAAAACTTAAATTATTATTTATAACCTGAATGTCATGTCTATAAAGACATGCATATTGTATTTTTAAACTGTGGTTAATAAGCCAATAGAGATGGACTATACCAGATGAGTATTTTAAAATATTAGATAAAAATTAAACTGCTAGTACTAGAAAGACATGTGGTGAATAAATTTCAGTAAGTTGAACTAACAAAAATATTTTCTAATTATACAACCAACAATTTGAGATATTGTAATAGCAACTATCTAAATGAATAGTTTATAGTTTTTGAGTAGTCTATTAATGTGCCTCATTAGAAGGTATTCGACATACCCAAAAATCTTGAAATCCTTGAAATGTCTTAGGAAGTGAATTTTTATGAATTAAATTCAGAGATAAGGAGTCACCAGGAAAGGTCGAGATTTCTGAGTATTGCATTTAAATTGTTGACTATGTTACTTTTTAGTATTATTACATAAATAAATACCAGATGAATCAGACACACATTACTGTCAGATACTCTTTATTTGAGGAGTGAAGTGATGACTGATTTTTGAAAAATTATATGAAGTGTTACTATTATAATGACCTGTAGATGGAGTTAGTGCACAGTGTTTTATTACAGAGTGGTTCATATGGAATCAAAACCAGGTTTAGTAACTGACATTTCTCTTCAAAATACTTATTCAGTTTAGGGCACTCTATATTGGTATTAGTGTTTATACCCCCCCAAAGTCATCTTAATCTTTCTCCTAGGGTACTTATGTGGCAGTTGTAACTTTATATAGGGAATGAGAAGTCAAGTTGAATATGAGCCTGAATATAAAATCACAATAAAGAAAGGTTTCCATCCCAAATGGGATAACAAGGTTGGTCTTGTTTGGGATGGGACTGATCTCTGTGATATTTGCATTCCAATGGTAACAATTGCTGAGAGCAAGATTTGTAAGCTGAAAAGATTTCCTACATTTACGTAAGCTGTGGAAACACAGGGAGCATAGTTAAAGGCAACAGTTACCAGGGATTCTAAGGTTGTGTTAGCAGTCTACCCACCCTCTGATGTCATCCTAACTCATCTTTCCCCTCTTAAATTTATTGCTTTCTCCCTGAGAGTTTTATCTATGGATACTTTCCTGAATCTTAAGATGTGTTCGTATTTCTGCCTCATCTTTATCAAGATGACCTTCCATTGTCCTTGGAAGATGCATGGATGGCATTTGGTTTTGTGACAATGAATTTTTATAAATAATCACTTTCAGAAAACTGCCTTTGCTTTTGCCTTATTGCTGTCATCTGCTAATGAGACATGCGGGAAGTCACAAGCTCACTGAAAAATTTGATTTAAAAAAACAAAATGAAACAGCAAGATGTTTAATTTTGCTAAAGGAAGTTCTCAATCTGTGTGACATGGATGGATTAATGTTTAATTTCAGGGAGTGAAAAATGATTTCATAGAAATGAATTCCATATATTTAATATCACAGAAATATTTAACTTATAACTTTTGAATTACTTTTACTTATGACTATTGAATTAAAACTTTAACAGCATAGTAGTCATTGAAAGTATACACAGCTCAGTGAAATTCTATACAGTTAAAACAGACATGCAGAGCAGGAGCAGTGCAGACTCACATTGAATTTTACCCTTTCAGTATTGAATATTTTTAGGCTTATCCATGGCAGAACTAGAAAAGTAATTATCTTTGTATCCTTAAAGTGGCCATTATCTGTATCCAGGCCTTCCTTATTCCTTTCTATTTAGCCTAGTGAATTTGGTGTGTGATGTTTTTATTTGCAAGTTTTAAATACAATTTTATGAAATTAAGAAAAATAGAAGTGGTATTTTAAACTTTGCTCATGCATAATTAATTACTTGCAAGACAGAATTTGTTTCTGAAGTGGTAATAGATTGTATTTGGTGTTCCTATCAAATAAGTGAATTCTGGTTTAAAATGCCACCATTTTACATATATTTATTAACTATATAACTACACATGAGTGAAGCAAAAGAATAATAAGATTTAAAAATGAAGTATGTAGATGTGTCTCAGTTTTACACCCTACATCCACTTTCTCTTTCCACTCAAGGTCAGAGCTAGCCCTGTAATCAGTCAGTGAATGTATATTCTTTCTAAGATAGAAACGGCTTCTCTCCAAGGATTTTGAATGTGTCATGCTAAATCGTTACATAAAAAAGATTAAATATGCATAGATAATAAAATGATTGGTTTAAGAAACACAAAGTATATGGAAGTACAGCCCTATATGGTTGAAAGCCAGAATAAAAATACTAAGGGATAGAAGCCTTATCCTCAAATAGAAAGAAACAGGAGTTGGTGTTCCTTTACAGAGGATGGAAATAAAGTGTTATCTCAGAAGGTGAAGAAAACTGAGTTCTGGCCTGAGTTATGCTCCTAAGTAGTGGTATCTTAAAGCAGAATGCCAAGGTTTATTGCACCTTACATAAAGAGTGCTAATCTTGACTTTTTTCAACAGTTATACTATGTCTAATGCCACATAAATCTTTTAATACATTTTCAAAATTTGTTCATACATCTTTAGTGGTGGATCAAAATTTCCACATTGATAAAAAAATAATTAATATAAAAATTGTTTATATGTCTTCCTTTACTAAGTATCTTAAAATGAGATCCAAAACTCTAAAGCACAAATATATAGAAAGGAAATCAGAGAAGAAAGCTTGATAGGTGAAAACTTTCATATTAAATTTTAAAGTGAACCTTTAAATCAGTTTTATAACCCACGTATAGACATATATATGTAAATAAATAAAAATAATGTGGATAGAAGGTTCCTAGATGGCTTTATAATATAAGTTAACATTCTTGTTTTCTCAGGGAGGATCTGTTTATTCTAAGACTCTCTACCTCTTGAGAACTGAAAATGTAGACTTAGAACTCATTTTCTATATTAAAATTAAAAGCCTATCTCCAATGAGACCACAAATGAGAAAATGACTCAAGTTATAAATACTCTCAAACTCACAACAGCAAAGAAAGTAAGAAAATCTGAGAAAGGTTTTGAATGGTAAGAGGTTTTAGTGGAAATTTATAATTTCATGTTATTGTTTTCTTTATTCTTTCCTCAGCTATGGACAGCCTTCCCAAGATGAACTTAAAGACAATACCACTGTCTTTACAAGGATTTTGGATCGACTCTTGGATGGTTATGATAATCGTTTGAGACCAGGATTGGGAGGTGAGTTATACTCGCACATTTTTTTTCTTGAGAAATTTTAATATTGTTAAATCTTTACTAATATATCTCTACTTTCTCTTCAAACAATATTTTGAAATGTTAGTATGCTGATTGATAATCATATATTAATAGATCACTCAGTGCTAATTCAATTTACTAACTTAGTTTTGTGCATATACATATTTATATATTGAAAGACAGACACAAAATTCTCATAATGACACAAAAGAGATACATATTCTTGACATGCACAATGTTTTTCTGTCTAATAACTTGGTTATATAAAAAGAAAGATAATGTTCTTCCATTTAATATAAGGTTTGTCAACTTCACCTGCTCTGCCTGCACTGAATTCTATCTTGGATTCTGTGTTGGAAATGTTTACTTTAGAAGGTCGTGTGTTCAATCTTATCTTTGT